GGTAGTTTCCAGAATCACTCTTATCCCCACCTTTGGGTAGTGGAACAATGACAGCATCCTTCCACTGCCGCGGTAAACGCCTTTGAGTGAATGACAAATTGAGCAGATTGCACAGTGGCACTGCAAGTTCATCCACCAGCTTTCTCAGGATCAGCGGATGCACACCCTCAGGTCCAGGTGACTGGTGAACCTTTAACCGACGCAGCTCCAGGGTCACCTCTCCGATGGTAAATGGAGTCCAGTTCGGTGTAGTGTCAGTGTCCAACACTGGAGTCTGGGGTGTACACTGAGGCATAATGTGATGCCATCTCCGCTTTGTCCTCATCATTTTCGGCGAGTGCCCCATCTTCGGCGAGAGTCGGGAGACCAGCGAACATATAATGTTACAAATTTACCTTTCAGTTCATCCAAGTTGACAGTTATTTGCAAACCTAGTTTCCGTCTTGGAGATTGACGGTTTCAGTCTCACTACTGGGCGAGACTGGGCGAACTGTAACACTAGGCCCGTTCTATTCATATGAAACTGAACAATACAGCCTGGTCCGACGGGAAACTGTGGAACTTAAAATATTGTACATCCTGGTTCAAGCCATCAAGAGGTTTGTGATTAAGCGATTCGGAGAATTGGTAAACACTTTGAAAAAAGGGTACAGTGTTTCTCGGGCTTTTATCAGGTAGTTACAACAGTTCGAGATGGTGAGGTGAATGCCTTTCAAATCTGCAATCCCTTAAAGTAAGCGCTTCCACGTCGGAACTCGTTTATATGATTGAATATTGGTGAGAAACAAATTAAGCCCGAAATAATCCCAAAGATCACAAATTGAGTGCAATCCACAATGTGTGTGAATTTAAATGCTTTAATCCGAATGAAGTTATTCAAATAGACCATAAAAGATACAGTCAAATTAATCTCCATTAAATACTCCACTCAAATAAGCGGCTTGCCTATCCGATTTCCCGCTTATTTGCGGTCAGAGCACCACCAAGAATAGGTGGGTAGTGGCCGAGGACGTTCTGCCTATATTTCTGAAAAGTCATAAACAAGGAAGACCAATTAACTGGTTCTGTACACAGTACTAATGGCCGGAGACTAACTGGTTCCGCCGTAAATTAGAACCATTTAGCAATCGTGTGTGCACAAGCGAAACGACTAGGAACTGTTTGTAATAGGAAACATCATGGCCGCATCCAAGTTTGGTAATCTTTGTAAATATGAACAGAAACAAAAAGCAGCTGGCATTGTCATCCATGACTACGAGCGCACGCGTGCACACATGTACTCGTCCGCCAGTCTCACCCAGTCCCCAGTCCCCAGTCCCCATACAAAAGAGACAACGAAGCGGCTAGTTATTACCAATTTGTCCCAATATTTGACGAATGGGCGATACGATTCACACATAGGTGCGCGTACGTCGCGGTGTATGTAACTCTGCACTTCAAAGGTAACACGAATTTTAATGACAGTATATTACTCAGTCGGAATGTATTTGATGTAAGTCGCTTTCCGTCCCATTAGGACTGAAAAAATGAGGATAGAAGATACATTCACTTTACACCAAAGGTGGAATGCATCCTCTATTTGGGCGACAAGTAAGAGGTTATATCGGATAACTCGAATGGGACCAATTTAAGAGCGTCGATTCAGAGATAGATAGATAGATAGATAGATAGATAGATAGATAGATAGATAGATAGATAGATAGATAGATAGATAGATAGATAGATAGATAGANGATAACTCGAATGGGACCAATTTAAGAGCGTCGATTCAGAGATAGATAGATAGATAGATAGATAGATAAATAGATGGATAGATAGTCTTTCATTTCCTACTGGTGTACCGAGTGAAAGATAATAAGTTCCGACGATGATTTTGACGATAGGTAACCAATGTTTGTCTAACAGGGTGCGGTTGTTTTGTCTGGTTGTACGACTAATGAATTGATTGTCTATGGTCGATCGATTGACTTCATTTTTACAATCGTTTGGACTTTGTTCCGTTCACAGAGCCTGGTGGATAGGCACACGGTCAAAAATGACACTGACATTAGCCATGCACAGCCGGTTTGACCGTGCCAAAATCCCCGTTCCGGTCGATGCCCAAATCAACACGATATGGCAGAAAAACGATGATTCAGCACAGATTTATCGGTCACCCTGAACAAGCAAGGTAGGAGGTGACTATTATTCAGTTCAACCCGGGCTCAATCTAACCTTTATCAAACCTGCCTCAATTGATCACGGCTGTCAAACTGTGTGTGCCTGGGCGTGTGTGTGGCACCGCGATCACGAACATGGGGTATAGTAAAACTAACCGGTCGTCAATGCTTACAATGATGTGATAAGATTTCACTATGGACCTTTGGCAAATACTCACGACCGTATAATCGAAACAGTTACTATGATGTGTCTGATTTTGCATGGAAGTGATCGACTTTTAACAATTCATTACCAGCATGGAACACTACGAAAGGATCTCACTCAGATTAATCTAACTTCTAGCCCTGATAAATCGGATACCATACCCTGGAGGGTAGTCGTAACTAAAGAACGAGTCTCTGGTATTCAGTAGAGATCTTATCTAAATTCGTTCGGGGTGTAGAACCGAATTACTGAGTTTAAAGTGTAAGAATCATTTTGGCAAAACATTGGCGTCGATTGGATTGTTTGCTACCAGAAAAACAATGTGAAGGACAAGCCATATTTGTGGCCTGTAGAACAAACAATCAGTTAGCATTGATTCCTAGACACCCCGTTGTCTATTATGAATTCATTTTGCCCCCAAATTTCTGGTAAACTTCCACTGATACGGACATCACACAAGAAAAAAAAACACTTGGGATGAGTTGATCACCACGGAAATTTGCGGTTCAAGTGCAACCCTGAAGAACAGTTCAATGTTCAATGGCTTAAGCAATTATTGATGCAGATTCAAATCAGGAGTTTATGACTTCTCTTTTACACGTTAGACTTCTGATCTGAATCCCCTGTGAGTCATTGAATTCAGAAGGTTCATAAAACGAAACAAAGTTGAACCCGGCTTTCGGGCGATCCGTTTTTGGGCTTTTTCTTGATTAAATTATTTCTAACGGTATTCTTTCTCCAGGCAACTTCATTTTTTTTTGTTCTCATTAAAATAACAGAGGCGTTTGATGTGTGTTGTATCCCTTTTATACTAGTAGTTGGGTGTTTTCACCAGAGACGATGGAGTAGAGTAAATGTTAATTGTACCATGCAGTTATGCTGCTCAACGCAAAAACTACAACTGATTGTAGAATAACAGTGAACTTGAAAAACAATTGTATCCGTATACTACATTCAGCTTTTTGTTGGTGCAACTAGACAAATTCGCTCAACAGCAAAGTTCTAAGCAAATGATCAGTAGGAAGCTCATGTAACTCAGCAAGAGACAGACAGGCGGACAGCTTCAAAAACAGACAGACAGACAGACAGACAGACAGACAGACAGACAGACAGACAGACAGACAGACAGACAGACTGACTGACTGACTGACTGACTGACTGACTGACTGACTGACTGATTGACTCACTCACTCACTCACAAACCGAACGTAGAGGGGAATGCCCGATACGTTTTCAAAAATATTCCTGAATGAATCTTATCACCTGCTTCAGCTAACTAATGATAAGCTAGAGCTGGAACGTTAATCCTTCAAAGCTATCTGTTTGGGAAGAGTGGTATAAAATTATCAGAAGTTTTATGCAACAGTAAATAGATGGAACACACCTCTCCGACATATACATCACAGTTATCCGCATTTCCGTCCGCGTTCCGGTAGCACAAGGTCAGTCCGTACTTTTCTGTGGGGGAATTGCGCATCAGCTTGATCTCCTTAAAAAAGATATATCAGAAATATGTGCTGGTTAAGCAGCATTGAAATTCGATGGACAAAGCAAGAGCTGATATTTTGATGAATTCTAAAATGAGATTCGTGCGTACTATCCGTCTTCCGTTTTATCTGAGTTTTCAATTTTGTCACTTGAAATTTAACTTGGTAAAGAGCAGGAACTTCAATATTTGACAGAACTGCATGCACAGCCTCCACTAACTGGAATCGAACTGGTCCAACACCAGGCTGCGGGGTTCACCCCTAAAACTACCCAATGAGCACAGTTTCAGTTGTCGAGTTCAGTCCGCGGTCACACACAGGTTCATTTCAAACTTCAGTTATCGACGAGGAATTTTCCATACGGTTGTATACTAAAAAGCCTGAATCGAATCTGTGACCACCGGATGCAAACATATGCACACATAGACACACGTGTGTCTAAGCTATTCTCTCGTCGAGTTCTATTTTGTGTGTGTGTGTGTGTGTGTGTGTGTGTGGAGGTGGGGGTGGGGGGTGGTCGTACATACGTGTACACAGACACGCACCAATCGTCCAGCATGAACCCGAACTAAATATGGACTGTGCTGTACCGTCCGGAGAATTTTCCTGACCTCTATGGGTGTTCGGCTCCAGCGCTCTGTCTCTCTTTCTCGCCTTCGTTATGCTGAATTTCGGGGCCTAGTGCTCTGATGGTGGGCAAACGGCCTGGGAGATACGGCTGAACGATTGGTGTACTGTTTTTGTTTGTATGCTTGATGTAGTTGCGGTCTCGATTGCTTTGATGTCATGGCAACCGTAGCAACAACCACAACAACATCCATAGCGGTACCAGGAACAATAACCTCGGCTTAGAGGGCGAAGACACAAACACGCTCGGTCACCAACATGGCCGAAATGTGCATGCTTGAGGGATGCGATATAATAAATGAGGTGCATGAATCAAACGGGTACACCAAATACAGCTCTTGTCTGTTCAGGGAACCACCATCCATTCTTTCAACGAACCCCGAACAATCATCAGCAACCGAATACTTACCAACCCAATTTCGAACATCGATGCTTTGCGCTGTTACAAACCCATGTAAATATGAGGAGCCTAGAGTTAGAGAGATCGCTGTCGGTACCGAAGGCCTGAAGAGCGAGAGAGAAGAGATTCGTATTTGCCTTTCATTACTGTCTCGTTTTCTATTTTCCATCAAAACGAGAAGGGGCTAGATATGATCATTGCCGAACAACACGGAATCTAAATGATTAACAATGCCGGTTGTATTTTGTACAATTCGGACTACAGTCCACTATGATTCAGATGCGATTTGCATATGCGAATACCCGTATAACTCAGTCCTCAATTCGCTTGTACGGTTTTTACGCACTACTATATTTTTTCGCATTCTGTGGAATATCTTTCGAGCCATTGCATATGTTATGCAATAAACATCCCGAATGTTCTGCTCAAACGCACTGGGTCACGGCAAATGCTCACCAAGATTTTTCTTGTGTACCACATCACATTGGACCGCAGAGCTTTATTGGCCCATCTTTCCTGCGTAATTGGTGAGGTGTCACACTTGTATGGGCTGACACTAAAACGATAGCTATTATACAGTTAGGGCATTCGATTGTAACTAAACCACTCAAAGGGGAAGTAAGTAATCCTTCATTCTGGAACGAGTCTGTCATCTCAGAATATACACAAATGGGAAATTGAAGTTCAAAAACGGAAGGAAGTCTACATCGGCTATAACCCACATCAAGTTCGACCGCAAGACCACAAAGTAGAAACCCGCGAGATGACAGTGCTAAGATGACCCAAGTTAGGTGCTCATGACGAGCTTGTAACAATGTCTTGAATGCTAGATGCAGTGCAAACAACTGCCTTTTCGTCAACTGGACAGCTCAGCCCGTGTTTTTCTGGGTTTCATGCTCACTGAGATAAATACCTTCTCATCATTGATAATACTCAACAAGTTTCGAACAACTATGCCAAGGTCATCAGTTTTCAACCTGTACCGGCTAAACTGCCCATGTTTTAGAACAGAAGCATCATGAGTTCATTCAGTGAATGTCTGTCGATACTTCATAGGGTTACGGACAAGGTGAAAGCGGTAAAAGTTTTTACAAAATGATTCAAACCATACATTTGAAAAAGTTGTATTGTAGTCCTCGAAGCTAATTTGAAAGTCCTTGGTAATTCATGGCAAGTGGTACCAGAAAAAGGTGAGACAACATGTTTCATACAATCTTTTCGAAAGTCACAGCGTGCTTTTTGGAGCAACATTGGAAAAATTATTGCTCCTTATCGGCAATTTTTACTAAAATTGGACCCATGGAAGACTCCATTTGGTTCCTCATGGAGTGAGAGGAAACGTGAATGAATGATTTTAGGCGTGACATTGACGGTTAGTGTTGATGAAGCGGGCCGCTGAAAGTACGCTTTGAAATCTCGAATAGACCCTCATCTTTGCTACTGATTTTCGGACGGCCCCTAACGTGCGCATACACACAAACACACACGCAGACCGGCACATCGCAGCAATGACAAATGGGAAATTTGGCGCCAACAGACGTGTTTGCGGGCTTGACATAACGGTAAAACATTTTTCTCGGCTTGTTTGAAATTTGAGGAACGCATCAAGTTAGAGGTTCTTTTTCAAAAGATTTATGTCCCCAGCGGACACCCTGATCGTGTTGAGACATTTTCTTTTCGATTGAAGGTGCGCGTGTGACTGTTGTCACCTCCTCCTCCTCTTCTTCTTCCTTTTTTGTCAACGTCGTCATCGTCGCCGTCCTGATCAGTATCGTCATTCCAATCACAGTCTTTGTTTTACTGACCAAACTATAATATCCGAACGGTGATGATGGACATGCAGGCAAACGAATGACGAGAACAACGACGACAATAGCAACAGTAACAACATCGAGAACCGAGAGGGCACAGAACAGGGATAGTGTGCACTGCATAACTAACTGCCTAGCGCTTCCATAAACCGAATGTGAAGAAAATTGAACGACAAAGGCATGCCAAAACAACGGCGTGCACATGAAGTTTGTTGCGTTCATTGAGGGACAACAAACGCGAGATAAAAAAGATTCACACTGTTTTATGCATTGCGTAAACTCGGAGGAATGCAACAGACTGTTTGTTAGAGTGCAAAACGATAAATTGCCCGTTCATATCCAGCCCCGGCTTGGTCAAAAACGATCGGCCCTGGTTTGACAGAGCACGAATCCAATGCTCTTCTTGCTGTTCTATCTTCGGGCAGTATTTGGCAAAAATCAAACTGTCGAGGCAGGATGAGATGGGATTGTGGATTACACAGTTTGAATGTCACGAGTTATGGCCGGTTATATCAGCCTAGTAATGTTGTGACACCTTTGTCCTTTCGGACTGTAAAATGTCAAACGGAATAAGTGATCAGTCCAAAGAATTCCGGTACGTTCAGGCTAGCCAAAGCATTCCCCAAAGCCCCCCAATATTCCACATTAATCTTTTTGCAGTCTGACCAAGGTTTTACACGGTTGTTGAGCAAAACCCGTGTAAAACCAATCCTTTTCATTCATTTTTCCAAGTCTAGCTCCCTCCCCCCCCAAAAAAAGTCAGTGTTTATCTAATCGGTAGTTTGTACAAGTGCGTTGTTTAAATTCAATACGGCGCCGTGCCTATATTAGTGCTGTGTTGCTCTATGATATCGGCGTTATTTTCTCAATATTCATGAACATAATTCAAGCTGCGTCATCACACCGAACAACAATATCTCTTGCGTAATTCTCAAAGAATATACTGAGATGAACCTTTTGAGAAAGACATTACGCTCCTATTGTAAGGAAGAATGCACCGAAATGAATGACTGCCTTTCTAGGCGATAAAATTGGGAATTTAAGTAAGGCTACCGGGACCTGAACCGAAAGTAGTACTATCGTCAGCGTCTTGTGGTTCATTGCGCAAGGGACCATGGCCACGTGCAAAATGCATCGGAAATAAGCCACCGCGAGCTGATTGAATGATTGCTGCCAACTGCACAACCGTGATGGAGTTTCTCTTTTCCCTATTGATCTGTCCAATCGGCCTCTTGATTCATGTTTTTTCAATTGTATCATGCTCAAAGTTCTTATGCGTTCCTTGTCATACTCGTTGAAAATAAGTTTGTGTAAACTGGTTAGAGCACAAGGCTATTTGTTTTGACTGGTTATCGGATTCTACTGTAACTTTGTTATGCATTTTCAAGATTTCAATCCTCAGTATAAAGGATTGTGGTATACCCTTAAATCAGAACCGAATCGCATCGAGAACTCCAGTTTCGACAAAATTCTTATGTGTCCTTATTGAATTTCCATTCATCGTTTGGCCTCCCGAGAACGATATTCACACTGCACTTTCTCTCCTCACGTCTGTGAAATTCAATCGGGGAAGTGAAAAACTGAAAACTGGGCACAGTGTCCAAACTTGTAGAGGAACAGTGCATTAAAAACAGGTTTCCCTTCGAAAGCCAAAAAGAGAAAATAACAATCGAATCCAAATTGCTACAAGCTGATGTCCGAATGCATCTCTAGTGCGATGGAAAAATTTCAGATGTACACAAACTTGTGATAAATACAAAGGTCTAGTTTAGGGTCAATCACTGTTGAGTTGACCTCAGAAACTGCTGTTAATCTGATAAAGGGTCATAATTGAGAGGAAATGATAGCGTCAATCAGTAAGGCCAATCCCCATCATTTATATCATTTAATTAATTATTTTATCAGCTATTGTCAAATGCACTAAACTCTTTTCCTAGATCGAAACACAGTTACTTTTGAGAGAATGTTTCACTCGTTGAATACAACCAATGAGGATCTGAATCTAGACCAAACCGATATCAATAGACTCAATAAAGTAGTACAAAATGTGTGAAGTCGTTATACTCAGCTAAAGTCCGATAAAATCTGTGGGTAACACTATACTACTTAATTTAGACTGATTATTTTCAATGAAAATCTTGAAATTTGGCGTATCTTCCCTAATTTCCTTATCCTCTTAGAGAATTCCAAATTCATAAACTAATTCAGAGCATATGACCAGAAAAAAGTCTCTTTGATTAAATCTTGTCAGTTAATTGTTGAACCGAATAATGATCGGGACTGAAACGGGTCCGACAACGACCAGAATTTCGCGCTATAGCAGTTTAAGTGTAAACATCTGAAAACGGATTCCTGTTTGTGTTAACCTTGCAAGGAAGTTAATCAACGGTAAGATGAAGGTACATTAGGAATACAAAACAATATCACTCACTCTCAGTATAAAATTGCGACAATCAATCATATTAAAAAGGACTAGCATTGAATTCGATTTTGTGATGAATAAGCTTTCTGTAAGTTTTATTTGATCACAAATTTCATCTGGTGAGATGTTGTGGATGCGGAAGCAATGACTCATTTTCCTGTTATTTTAAAACAGACTTATAAACCAGACGTATGACTCAGATGTTCCGAAATCTCACTTACCGTGAATTGGATATGTTCCAACGGTATGCCAGACCAGAATGTTGGACTCCGGGCTGGATGACCTTGACGTGACATGCTTCGTGCCTGACACCGCTGGGCTAATAATCTGGGATATTCGTGTCGATCGTACTGTTCGTTCACTGCGTCCTGACAGACACAGTTTTGCCGTTTGTACTGTTCCGATTCGGAACCGGCCAAATCTGAGGAATGCCCGACAGTGTGCGAGTTGGCTTTTTGGGGCACTCCATTTGTGTCCGTTGTTCCACCCGGAGGATTTGGGGTTGAGCCTTCTTTGGACGATTGGGCGTCGTTACCGTTTACCAGAATCCTGCGATGTTCATCGACATCGTTTTCTCCTCCGTGAATCGCACCATCTTCCTCATCATCCACATCTACGTCCTCGATGATCTCATCATCGTCATCATCATCGTCGTCGTCTATCTCGTCCTCGTCCTCTTCGGCGTCCAATTCCACAATGTCCAGTAATCCGGACATGCTGGACGAAAAGACCGTCTCCGAGCTGAAGGTGTATGTGACGTGTTGTTCCGGCGGGGGTGAGTGAGTGAAGAGTAGTGAGTCGTAGGAGCGATGGAAAGAATAAACAAAAACAACTGAAAAATCAGTCCAGGAAACTAGTGTGGTTCATTGTCCATAAAAATTCGTCATAAACGACAAATTTTCACATTTGATCGTAGCAAGTAAAATATATACAATTTGTTTCATTCATTGTTGCCTGACAAACGATGTTTGAAGGTCAATAAGGCAATATATGTAGCACCAAGGTCTTGAATAACTGTCAGTGAAGGAAAGCGGACACAATATGCAGATCGTGTGATATGGAGTGGCAGAGAGCAACCGAACAATTTGTGTTATCTAAAGCCAATTCTATTCTTTAAGTTTGTCTGCTCAAGCCATATTCGACCGCTTTCGTAAGCTTTGATAACTTGAGGGATTCAAGTGGCTATCGAATGTACAGAACACAATAGCGAACAGTGGACCAGGAGAAGAAGCTGCTATTTTTCTGTAATGTTATCAATTATCAAGAGGGACTGTGAAAAGACCAAGATTCACACAACAGATGAACTCGTGGTTCACTTCGATTGTTCATCTATGGACTGTACACGTTAAACACCAGACATATCGTCTACTTAAGCCAATCCGAATTCTCTCAAAGCAGGAGAACCGTCAAACGCCTAACGCAATTTCCTACCGATGAGTAGTGTTGCATCCCTCGGTTCTATTGTGGCACTGCAGTAAGGTTTACAGGATCGTATTCGCTTTGGAGCCGATAAGTAAACACTTAAGGATGAAGAACCGGAACGTTTTCGAGGGGAATGTACTTCTCAGAGTCCCTTCTTTAAAGGAACATTTTACTATTTTGACAATGGGAGGCTGAAATGTAAATGGGGACACTTTTAAAATCAAAAAGAACTGACTATCTTGATTATATGAAGCTCCTGAAACAAAACGACCACAATAATTGATTTTTAGCTCTTAGGATTTCGAGTGTTTATACTTTTAGCAGGAGATGCCAAAGTCTCTACTCGGACACTCGGTTATGGATTGTGTGATTGGGTACCTCAACCAGACCAATTGAAGAGAGTAGCGACAGTCGGAACAGGTTCATCTTGTATACGGAGTTGGATCGAGGTGACATATACGGTGCTATACCATATCATGAACCATTAAGATGCTAACTGTACTGCAAACAAATTGTCCGTCGCAACCCGAACAGACGTGTGAGCAACAATCATATCAGTGGATTTGTTCAATATTTGGTTTTCTTGAATGATCGCCCGTGACTGGGTTTAACAATACAGATTTTTTGATGAATTGGTTGTGTATATCGCCTATCATTCAGAAAAGAGCACGTTGGACTTGAACTAAGCCGTACTGGTAAACAAAACGACAAATGATCTTTCTGTTTGATGTATCCCACTCTGTCACTGTCTGGCCGTTCCTTGTTTTGCGTCGGACTTTTAATCCCGGAGGCTGAGCACATGCGAACAAATTACTCATAGAGTACACTAAACATAATCTACTCAATCACTACAAATGAGTTAATTTATTTTGTTGTCGGTAGGCTGAAATTGTAATTATCAATTCTGTAAGCGTAGATGCTACATTTCAGTCAACTGTTCTCTCAGTTGAGAAAAATAATTCGATCCCAAAATCTTTCAAGAAGGTTTTCGAAAACCTGTTCTATCTTAACCAGAATACGTGCTGAACGGGGTGCCGCAGAGTTACGACATATTTTTATGCGCGAGGGAACATTACGGTATTGAGATCTATAGTAGAGGGGAAAAAATCTCTGTGCTGTGGATAAGTGGGATGCATGGGAATCGCATGTGGGCATACTTGTCACGTGCATTCAAATGATATTCACACCGAGTAGTTATTGATTCTTTCGGCGGGATTGAAGAGACCCGCTTAAGCGGGCAAAGCACATGGGTACACGAATTCGGAGATATTTGGCTAGTGAATTCGAAACTGACAGAGCTTATGAATAGAAAAAGAAAGTATTCGAAGTTTTTGACTACATACTGAATGTGAGAGTTTCAATGAAGATTATCATCGAGACATAACGCCGGGTATTTGATATGCCTTAAACGGGATACCAGTTCAAATGAGTGCAAATGTGATAAGAAAAAAATTTCGTTAAAGGGAAACATGCTAAACGTTTCTTGATACTCACAGGAGAAGATAGAGATTACGCTGACAGGTTAAAAGATTTTAGTCGCGGTGTGGAAAGTGGGGTAACAAGATAGGATGCCATATAAAATGAAATTATTGATGCTTATATAAAAATAAATCATGGTGCACCTATTATGGTTAGCACAAAATCAGGGAGTGAATAGTGCCATGGAACTGCTGAACCTGAGTCCATGCGTATGCTGATTGCTATTGAGGAAGACGTCGCCACTGGA